TTCGTTCTACACATTTGCCAAAGCTTCGCGGGTTGAGGGTGGTTCATTTTCAAAATGTGGTTCTTGCCCCAGCGCCGCGCACATTCGTTTTAAAGCGTTGTCATGGATTGGGAGAGGCTCCTGTTCAAAATGTGGCTCTCGCCTCAGCGCCGCGCACACCCAGTGCAACAAATTGCATCAAGAGTTTCGCGGATTCCCATGGTCCACGCACCAGAAATGATGTGTTGAAAAGGGTTCAACACTATGCAATCGCAACAGCTATGTCGATTCGCTGCTGAAGGCCCAAATCTGGCGTTCTGGCACGATTCTGGATCGCCAAGACGCAGCGGTCAGGTTGAGACGTGGCGCTTGAATTCAGAGAACAATGCTTTGGCACGCTTCAGGATCCAGCCCCAGGCATGGTTGTTGCGGCGGATTTCAATTTCGAGCCAGCCGAGCTGGCTTCTTCGAGCTTCGTTTCTGAATTGCGCGGCAGCTTGATCTTTCCTTCTGTCGCTACTCATTACCCCGCGGGCCCCCCGACGACGTTCGACTATTTTGTGTGTTCTCGGGGCCTGGCTAAGGGTATCGAGTCGGTCGACGCGATGTTGGGCGCTGATCTCTCTCCCCATCGGCCCGTGGAGCCCCTCTTTCACCCCCGCCTGGCCATGCCCCATGGCCTTTCGCACCGTCGCCCCCCCCCCCCCCCCTTCCCCTGCATTGCTGTTTTCGGCCCCGCCCCGAAAGATTCGCGCTGGGCAGGCGAGCAGGCGCTTGCCGATGCCGCCCTCGACAGGGCCATTGTGGGAGACTCCTGGGATGCGTTTCGATTGCTTGGTCCTCTGCATCAAGCCTTCTCCGACCGCGCCGACCGAGACCTCATTCCCATCGTAGGGGTCTCCCCCCCGAAGCTCGGGGCTCGGGGCGTCGGCCCCCGGCTGGTTCGGAAGTCTATCGCTCATCAAGATGGGCAGGCCAGATACCCAGAACATCGGGCCATCAATTGGCTTGCTTGGGCAGCAACTTCGGCCCTTCATGCGCGCCACTCGCGCTGATCCCAGGCCCACTTCGGCGCAGAGGTTGGGCGCTCTGCCCCAGGCGCCCCCGGCCGCGATGGCGTCGGCGCGCGCCGATTACACGCCCCTCTTTGAGCTAGTGGCTCAGGAAGTCCCCACCCTATGGGGGCGCCGAGACCCTTGCCGGCGCGCGTGCTGAGGCGTTGGGCGCCGCCAAGGCCGCCGACGGCAAGTGCGCTGCAAAGAGCAGGGCGGATTGGTCAGCGCCGTTGCACGTTGGACTAGCCTCGGGGGCCAGGAGAGCGCACAATTTTATGAAGGACCCCGCTCCTTGGAGCCCCTCTTCCACCCTCTCCTCCGACGGGCGCGTTCTCGATGACCCCCCCCCCTGCAGTCGGAGGGGGATAGGTTAGCGGTCCTCCGGGGTCGAGGAGGGGGGGTTCAGCCGGGCGGGACTTTGTCTAACCCCCTCCCTCGTCTTACCGCGGATGATATTCGAAGCATTTCGAAGTCCTATCGAGAGGCCTCGGCAATGTCGGCCGATGGCTTCCATTGCCGCCAATTCCCCGTGTTTTCGGACAGTGCGCTCGAAGTTCTAGGCTCGGCTTTTTTCTGATGGAGGCTGTCGGGCGCCCCCCCCCCCAAATCTCCGCGGTTATCATCGCTCGCCTCCCTGAGCAGGTTGGCGGCTACAGACCTATGGGGGCGCTCTGCTCCGGGTTTAGAATCTGGGGCCGCTGCGGGCGCCCCTTGGCCCAGGACTGGGAGCCGGAACACCCCGGGAGATATTGGGCTGCTGGCCAGTCCAGGGGCGCGACTGACGCGGCGTGGCGTCAGGCCCTCGCTGCCGAGAGCGGACTGGCCAAAGGGAAGGCCTCATGTAGCGTGATCTTTGACCGCGAGAAATGATACGAGAATATCAGCCTGTCTGAACTGGCCGTTAGATCCACGAAACACGGCTTCCATTTTCGCCATCGCCCGCGTGTGCATATATGCGCATCGATGCGGCAGGCTCCTGTGTATTGGAGGCTTGCTGGCGGGGCCTCACTTCTGCGACAGCGGAGTCTTTGCTGCCTGTTCCATGGCTACGTCGTTGATTTTTTCCCCCGCCAAGACGGGCGCGACTCTCTCACTCATCGTCGCAATCTCGACCTCGGCGTCTACAATGATGGCCAAGGGCTTTCGTGCACCGGCCTGCCACATCGGGTGTCCAAGGCGGTCTTCAGCGGAGCCCGGGAGCTGCGGCAGGTTTTCGGGTGTTCTTTCGCTTTGGACAGGACCGCTATCGTGGCGCCCTCAAAAGAGCTAGGTGACCACATCTCGTCGCAGCTGCAGGCTCTCGGATGTAAGTTCACGGACAGCGCTGTCAAACTTGGCATTGGCTGCGCGGCCGGGCGCGCTGTTAGGGTTGCTGGCCGGTCGGCCAAGATGAGAGCTCGATTGCGTTCGTTGTGCTTGCCGGCGTAAAAAGCAACATCGCGTGCTCAACAGGTCCGCGGTGCTCAGGGTCGCCTCGTCTGGGCCTCTCGAGGCGGCGTCCTGCGGGTCCGAGGTCGCGGGCGCGAGCGATCGAGACCTCTTGCTTCTTCGGCGCAAGATTTTTTCACGTGGCAAGCCGCGCTCGCCGTTCCCGTCGTTAGCAACAACCTCCATTTTAGATGACGACCCCGCGTGGCGCAATGCTGTGGCCCCCATCCTGCGCCTGGCCAACAAGGAGATTTGGCCTGGCCGACGTCTGCCCAATGGGCCACCACCCTCCCCGCCTCGAGGCAGGCTTTGGAGTCGGTGTTCGGTAAGCCCGCCTGCTCTTGGAGGCAGGTTGCGGGCCCCATCAGCGCCCTGCGCATGTCCACGGTTCGCCTGGAGAGGCGCGTGGACAACTTCATGACGTTGATCGATGTTCGTGGCCTTAGCCTCCCCCTTGAAATCCTCTCCCTGGCCCTCACCAGGCCCCTGGTCAAGGACGGCTATTTCGAAATGTTGGAAAGAGATTCCGGGGATAAGCGGGGGGCGCTTCCTCGGGTCTGCTGCGACATCGTCCGCGAGAAGATGCATGGCAAGAAATGCACGGCCTTGCAACAGGCTAGGATTCGGGCCTTTGTCACCGAAGCCTTTTTCACTGGGATACGGACCAAATCTCTCGGATATATTGTCGAAGACTCTCGTCATTTTTGCGGCTGCCAGGACGCCATCTCCCACCGGCTCTGGGAGTGCCCCCATGGGCCTGCCGCCGAGCTTCGCGCTGAGGTAGTGGACGCCAGCGTCGTCGAAGCAGCTTTGGCAGCTAAGGCGGCCGGGGGCGACGTCTTCGTTTTCATCTTCGGAGCTTTTCGCCATCCTGCCGTTTCCTACCCCCGTCCCTTCGCGGAGTTCGACGATGGCCCTGTCCTTGCGTGGCACTGGGAAGATATCGCGAATCGAATGGGCAGCCCACCAGCACCGAGTGGTGGGGAAGCCTCTTCGTTTACGGCTCGTGCGCCAGTCATCCCATCCAGGAGATCAGTAGAGCTGCCAGCAGCGTCACCATGGCCGACGACGTTGACGATGCTGGTGGCCACATTGCGGAATTTCGTGCCCCTGTCTGGGCTCCGTGCCCCCAGACACCCCAAGGGTGCTGTGTGTAGCTGTTGCACTTGGGCGAATGTCATGGCCTCATATCGACTTTCTGAGAATTCTGATCGCGAAAATGTGGCCAAGCTAGCGCGTCGTCCTCGGGGCGGGCACTTGTCGGGCAAGCGAGTTTACTCGGGTGCCTTCCTGCAGATTTTCGCACAGGGTGCTGAACCAGCGCCGCGTTTCACGGTCGCCGCCCCTCGCGATGTCGACGAGGCCGGGATCGACGCATCCGAACGCTGGAGGCGCGTGGGCAACCATCGCGCCGACGTCAGTGCGAAGCTGGCTGTCGATCTCCTCCCGAGCGACCCCGACGCGCTGGAGGCGGCGCGCATGCTTGTCAAGCAATCTCGCGCTACTCCTGCGCTCGCCACCAATCTGATCCATCTGTCTTCGGCGGAGCGGGTTCCGTGCCTTCCTGTTCCCCAGGGGCCCGGCCACAGATGGGAGCGTTGGTCTGGCATCCGGCGCCGCGCCGTCTGCCTGCGGGGATCGCGAGCTTCGCAGCGCCCCGCGCCAGGCAGGCGCTCTGAGTTTTCAAAGCTCCACGCTGCCAGGCAGGATCAGCTCGAGCATCGCGCCATTGCATTTGATTGCTCGGACGGATCGGTTCGGTTCATTTGCGCGCGCTGTAATGGCCATTCGAGGGGGCCCCGGATCGGGGTCTCGGGGCGCGCAGTGAGCCCCCCCCCCCCCCTCCCGGGCTGCCCCCCATGGGTGGGGTGGGGGGGCTCTGTGCAAGGGCCGCCACCCGCGTTACAGTAGCAAACAGACGCTCGGCGCCACGGCGAAAACGAACAATCTGACACGGCGCTGCAATGCTGGATATGGTTCTCGAAGAGCACCCCGGCCACCTGCAACCGGTGCGGCGGTGTGCCCTTCAGATTTTCTTAGCTCTGCCGCACTTCCCTCTATTGCGGCGCTAGTTTAAGCCTGCTGCTAGCAGGCCTGCAGCATCCAGAACGAACGGCGCATGCCGTTCCCCATCATGTTTGAGACCTGTCTCTCCTGCACCTTTGGCTCCCCGTCTTTCGTAACTGAGAAAATGAATTCACCTTCCCACTCTGACGCGTGCTCGTCTATCGTGGCGGTCGCTCGAATTCCTGCTCCCGCTCGGCTGGCTGCATGAAGGTCCTGCCATCGACGGTGCTGGACTTCCTGGTGGTGGTGTGCTGATGTTGCCCCAGCCGTCGCGCGTGCGCCGTGATCTCGTTCACTCCTCCTTTCTGTCCTTCCTCGACCTTCTGCTTACCCCTGTCGTAGTTGGGGTTGTCCTGCCGATGCCAGCAGCCCCTTGCACAGCGCCCCCCCCCCCCCCCCCTGGCCACAAGCGCAGCAAAGCCTCGCCCCAGGTACTCCTGCCAGATTCCAATCTGGCGGTCGCGTCGCAGCCGCCCTCGCCATGGGATCCGCGCCCTTGCCCCTCTGGTCTTTGCTCCTGTCGTTGCCTTTGTTGTCTCGATCTTTACATTTGTCGTCCTTGCCCTTGCCACTGGGACACCGCCGTGTCCCCGCGTCCACCTCCAGGTCTCCTGAGGTTCGGCTTCCTTTGCTGCATTCGACCCCAAGTCCTGGTGCGATCGGCCACTTCTGCTGGCATCCGTCCTCGTGCACCGCCGCGGCTTGTAAGTGCTGAATCGCGGTGCAGACCAGCTCGTCGCAGCTTCCCTCGCTCTGCAGCTGCAGTACCGTCCTGATGTTATTCGGAGCCTTCTGCAGGTAGATGCCCTTCTTGACTCCTGCGTTGAAGACCTCTCCTGACGCTGTCTCGTGGCGCCTGGCGTCGCGCTCCGAATCGGGGCGGCGCTGCTCGAACTCCGCCAAATCCGAAGGACGTGGCTTCACACTGAAAATCGCCGTCATGATGTTTTGCGCTCTCATGGCCGTCGCAAACTCGCGGGGTTTGATCAACGCTCGCCACGCCAGCGATCCGTCCTGATCCTCTACGCTCCTGATCAGCATCTGCGCGTTGCCCTTCACTGTCGTGACCAGCGCGAAGAACATTTCCTCCGTTGCCGTAACTCCTTCAGCTCCCAACCGATGTAGGGTCTCCGCCATGCTGGTGTCTGGATCTCCTCGCTGCCCAGCCGCCTCTAGGAGATTCAGCACCTGCGCCGTCTGGCCGCCCAAGTACGCCCTCATCACGAAGCTCCAGTCCGTCCACTGCTCCGCGTGGCCGTCGAACGTTGAAGGCGTCAGCCCGAAGCCGTGCCATTCAGCACCAGGCTCCGTCATGGTCACGTAAACCTCGTTCTGCACCTCCGTGGTCACGTGGACCTCGTCCTTCTCGTCATTGGTCACGTAGACCTCGTCCTGCTTGTCTGTGGTCACGTACACCTCCTCCTGCTTGTTTGTGGTCACGTGGACCAGGTTTTGCTCGTCAGTGGTCACGTAGACCTCGTCTTTGAATTCTGTGACATAGACCTCGTCCTCCTGCTCTGTGGTCACATACGCCTCGTTCTTATGCTCTGTGGTCACGTAGACCTCGTCTTGAGCTCCTGTGGTGGTCACGTAGACCTCGCCTTCCATTGGCCACGTAGACCTCGTTCAGCGCTCCTGTGGTCACGCAGGCCTTGTCCAGCTGCTTGATTACGTAGACCTCGTCCACCTGCTTGGTCACGTAGACCTTGTCCAGCTGGTGTGTCACTTGGTTGCCGTGGATCGGTCGCCCTGCGGCCGCGGCCGCGAGAGCAATGGCCACCGCCCCCTAGCAGCGGGGGGGGCGCCCAGCGGGAGCTGGCCGTAGCCAGCTCCGCTACGATGATAATCTTTGTGCCAAAGAGGCTGCAGACGGGAAGCGTATCATGTTCAGGCGTAAACCTGTTTAAACCTGTTCTCTCCTCGGTTTCCCACAACACGTATAAACATACACTCGTGCCGTTCTGCGCGGATTTCCTGTATCTGCCCTGATACCCCTCCTTGGCGCGCGGAGCGCGCCAGGGGCGGCGCCGGAGGCGCCGCCGGGGGGGCCCAGCGCGGATCCAGGAAATCCGCGCGGAGCGCCACAATTTTCGGCGGTGGACAAAACCTCTCTTTAGTAAACCTCCCTTTAGTCAAAACGTGCTGGGACCGAAACCAACGGACCTGGACCCGCAAAAGTGACGGCCGCGACGCCCTCTCGCGAACCGAAGACGGCCAATTCCTCAATCAACGCGTCAGGGTTGGAGGTCTGTGCACCCCCAATATATATATATATATATATATATATATATATATGTGTGTGTGTGTGTGTGTGTGAGTGCCGTCTTCTCCTCTCCGAACCACACCCTTCTTGGAGTCGCCGATGCTCGCCCCTCGTTGGGAGCGGCTGGCCTCGAGCTTGGCCGCCGCCTCCTCGGCCTGGGCCGCCGACTTCTCGGCCTGCGCCTTTCTCTCCTCCAGCTCCTCGGCCAGCGCCCCGCGAAACGCTGGGGCACTGGGCGGCGGCCGCCGGTCGCGCCTGCGCATTCTGCACTGCCTGCTGCTACTGCTTCTCCTCTTTAAAAGGGGCCTTGCGACACACAAAAGGCGGATGTTGGAAACCCTGGACTCAAAGATGGTTTCATGTCTTGGCGGCCCATTCGTTACTTCCGCCGCTTTCCGCCGCCTTTCCTCTGGCTTCCGCCGGCGGAGAAAGCCTCGTTATACTTCCGCCGACCTTCCGCCGCATTCTGCGGCGGAAGAGATGACAACTCCTTCGATCCTGGAAGGCAAGGCCAGTCTTGGAACGCCTCAAATAAATAGACACACGAAATCTCAGGACTGCCCATATTTGCCAGATTTTCTGGATGCTCGCCTCCCCTCCATTTCCCATGCTCTCCATATTATGATGGGCATCGACGTTTCTTCGTGTCTGTGCAACTTTTCCTTATGATGGGCGGCGGCCGCAGGTCGCGCCCGCGTGTCCTGCACTGCTTGCTGCTGCTGCTGCTGCTCCGCCCCCCCTGCCCTCCCCTCCTCTGCCGTTCCCCTCTCCTTCCCTTACCCCGCGGGGCGACTTCTCGAGCGGGTGAGCAAGACCAGTGGCCGAAGGCCGATCGCAGGCGGGGCCGCGCGAATGTGCCTCGCAAACAAAAAAAAAACGGGGCGCAGGGGCTGGTCGTGGCAAGAGGTGGCGGCGGGTGCGGCTCGAGGACCGCGGGGTGGGCCGCGGGGCGAGCTGTAGGTCGGGCATGTCCCTTTACAGGCGGACCTGTTTCTTTGGGGGGAAATCTACGAGCACACTCTGCAGTCGTCAACTTCGAAAAAGCGTCCCCAGATCGGGGATGGACAGAACCCCCTTTAGCAAAACGTGGTTTAGTGAAAGCGACCTCAGGCCCAAACCCGGCGGGCGCAAGCCTGGAAAATAACGGCCACGGCGCCCTCTCGAGAGCCGAAAACGGACAATTCACTAATCGACGTGTCACTGTTGGGGGTTCTGTCCAGCCCCGACCAGAGCTTTCTTCTACTGAGCTGCCATTGCCGTCCTGCAGAGGGGCATGCCCGACTTGAGGCGAGCTGCGGGAGGGCCCTCCGAGCGGCTCCGCGGAGGGGCCGCTCGGCCGGGCCGCGGAGCGAGGCGCAGGTGAGCCCTGGGAGGGCTGTGGGGCTGGCTTCTGCTTCGCCGCTTGGGCGATCGGGTAAGCCCCTCCTCCTCCTCCTCCTCCTCGTCCTCCTCCTCCTCCTTCTCATCCTTCTCCTCCTAGATCTACTCCTGCTCCTCCTCCTAGGAGTCGCAGGCGGGTTGCTGGGAGGGCTGTCGGGGGCGGCTGGGTCGTGGGGTCGCGAGGCGGGCCGCCGGTGGGTCGGGGGGCGACGACGGCAGCGAGGGCGAGGCCCAGACTGGAGCCGAGAGAGCCTCTGCAGAGAAGCAGCGGGATAGTCGGGTCGGGCGAAAGGGGGGGATAGCAAAGGGGGGGTTTGAGAATCAGCTCACGTAGCTGATTTTCCCGGCGCCGGAGGCGGCTATGTATCGAGGAATGGGCCCCTCGGTGAGGCCGAAACCAGCTGCATGCAGCAAATTTCGTAACCCCCCCTTTCCCAATCCCCCCCTTTCGCCCGACCCGAGATAGCTGGAGGAGACGGAGGAGGAGCGTGCGCATGCACCGCGTGCGTTACCAAGACCTCCGCTTCCGCACCCCACGAAAACTTCGAACCCCTGGAGGCTCGTTGGTCTTACGGTTGGGGGTGGGAAACTGGCGTGCAAAGCGGCGCCGCCGGACGCGCTTGGCTCAGTATCCGCTACCCTCCATCTTGGGGATAGAGTGCACCGAAAAAGCCCTGGCTGGGGGATACCGTGCACAGAAGGGACCCTCGCAGGGGGGATCGCCTCACAAGGATAGCGTGCATTTCGGAGAACGATGTTGTACGCTATCTGTCCAACGCCAGCCGTAGACGTACTACGGAACCAGACCCCTTCCTTGGCCCCACCTCCCCGTTGCCACTTGCGCGGAGGGCCACAGAGGCAACTCTCACCAGGGCGGGGGGGCCTGGGGCGGAGCAGAGGGAGCGGCAACAAAAAGAGCGGGGGCAATGCCACACCGTCCTGCAGCACCTTCTGCCGTTTCGCCTCCTTCGCGACCGTGGCGGCCTCCTCGGCCTTCTTCTTCTCCTGCAAGGAGGCGAGGGTCGCGTTGCAGTGAGCGGGTGCAATCGTGAATCACGGGGTTGGCACGGTACGCGCGGACGGGAAGGAGATGGGGATTGGGGAAGGGGAAGGGGCAAAGGCAGGAACCCATACCTCCAAAGCCCAGACTCGAGGTTTCCAGGAGTGATCTTGGGGCCGAAAGGATCCCCAGGGGGGAGCGCGGCATAGTGGACGTCTTCGAGGCCTCGGGGGGGGGTTCTATAGCCATCTGGGCCTCCATGGAAAGGCAAGTCAGCTCGGGCCAGGCTCACCGCTGGTAACACCCGAATGGCCACGCAACCTCGTCTCTGACAGGGGGGTGTACAGACCGAGACTGTGCCCGAACATCTGCCCGAGTGTGACCGAAATTGGCGCCCGACTTGTCCCAAATGCGCACGGGTGTGACCGATGTTCTGGGCATTTCGGCATTTCTGGGCATGTATGGTTTTGGTCACCATTTCGGACACGCTTTCGGTCACAGATGATCTTCGGTCACATACCGTTTCGGCTGGTAGAGTCCCAGCACCATGTCTGCGGCAACTCACGTGAGCCTCCCATACCCTCTTGTTGGCTCTTGCGGATCGACGCTAATCGACGCCAAGACGACGCTGATCGAGGCTGAACGACGCTAATCGGCGCTACCCCATCGATTACCAGACGCTCACCGACGCTATGACGCACCCTAGAGTCGGCGGTAGACAGACCTCCCTTTCGTAAACCTCCCCTTCGTGAAAACGGCCTGGGACCGAAACCCGCGGACCTGGACCCGCGAAAATGACGGCTGCGACGCCCTCTCGCGAACCGAAACGGCTAATTCCTTAATCGACGTGTCAGGGTAGGAGGTCTGTCCACCTCCGATAGAGACGACATTGCGAGGGTACTCGAGGCTCCCATTTCTCTGGCCAAATACTGCTGCACCACGCGGGGCTCCGCAGCCCTGGCCTTGTGGATGCCACGACAATGGACACTCGAACAATCCAATCATTGAATTAAAGAGTGTTTAAAACGTTTAAAACATGTTCTAAAACATGTTTCAAACATGTGTTTTACAGATTGAAGACATGCTTGAAGGATTAGACATCTGGAAATTATTTGGCAGCGCGCTTCCTCGCCATTAGTCGACTCCCACAGCCCTGGCCCCAGCTGGCCTCTCGCGCGGGCCCCGCCCGTGCGGGCTCCTGCCGCGACGGCCTCAGCGCACGGGCCGCCCGAACCTGCACGATCTGCCCCAAGTGGGCCCCAGGAAACGGCACGGCCGCTGTTCCCCCGCTTTCGGGGATGGACAGACCTCCCTTTAGTAAAAGGCGGTTTAGCAAAACCGACCCGAGGCCCAAACCTGGTGGGCGCAGGCCTGGAAAAGAACGGCCACGGCGCCCTCTCGAGAACCGAAAACGGACAATTCATTAATCGACGTGTCACTGTTGGGGGTTCTGTCCACCCCCGACGCTTCCGGAACAACACTCTTGAACATGAAAGCGGCAAACGGGAACCAACAAAAAAACAACGCGACCCGAAACGGCAGCAGAAGCAGCTCCGGGGTTGGAACCGCAGCCAAAAAGGCGGAACAGTGGGGGGCCACGTGCGAACCCTACCCCTACCCCCCACGATTTCTTAGGGGGAGCGTGGGGTTCACTTCGCTCGGGAGCTCCCGAACGAAGTGAAACCCACCCTCTCCCTCAGAAATCGTGGAGGGTAGGGGTAGGGTTCGAACGTGGCCACCTAAACAAGCATCGGCCACGGCACCGGCCACAGAAGCGGCGCCGGCACCGGCGGCAGCAGCGGCAGAACGGAAGCGGTCAACAGAGGACGGCCCCGTGGCTTCCGGGGCCTGCCCTCGTGGCGGCATACCCCGCGGCCCTCGCCCCAGCAGCGCGTGCCCGTGCTACATAGCGCCCATGCGCTGCGTCCTGTCGGCCCCGCGGCCTCCCCGAGACGCAGCCGCAGGCCACGCAGGCCACGCCGCGCGGCGCGCGGCAGGGGAGCCAAATGCCGGCCGCGCAGGGACAGAATGTGACGGCGGCCCCCTCGAAATCGAACGCAGGTTCTGAGCCGGCCGGCCCCCTCGCCCCCGATGTTCAATGCTAGTGGACGCGCGCAGCGCGGCCCGCGGAGTCAACCAGAAAAATGCAGTCGCCAGTGGAGGCGTCATCAACAGTGAAATTGGCGGCCGGGGGGCGTCGTCATGTCCTACAACAACTTGCGTTTGACTTCGAGGAGGGATGTACCCACCAACCCTCCCCAACCCAATCCGACGTCGCCGATTGGCCCGTAAATCTCAAGTGGGGGGACGCTCCGGAACCTCGAGAAGGAACACCGTGGCACCCATACACACATCCCGACCTCCGAATCTGGAGGGACCTGGAACCTTCGGCTTGGGATAGGGTAGCTTGGAAACCGGCGGCGAGCCGGGGGGGAGTGAGAAGAGGCGGGCCTTCTCAGAAGACCGGGAAGTTCTCTGGCCTTCCGAGAAATTGTCTAAGCTTTCCCCGAAGACACAGGAGACCTCTCAGAAGTCCCTGTCTCATCTGGAATATGGACAACTCTGACCCCCCCCTGGGGGCCCAAAGAGATCTGTCCAGCCAGAGCAAGGCAACGAGCACATGGGTCAAGGGCACAAACCACTTCACCAAAAATGCCCGTTGCCCCATGGAGATACTCCAAGTGGAGCCCATTCCACGGCGGAAATCCAAAAGACGAAGAACAGAAGGGTATCCCTCGAGAGCTAGGGTCGTTAGAATTGTTCTGGACCCACTCCATCCACTGCCTGGAGAGGTCCCCGAAGATGGATCATATCCCCCAGGCGGTGGTCATTGATGAATCCCCGCACGGCACCCGCGACGAGGACCAGCAACCCTGGATTGGCAGAGGCCGTTGGGAGGGTTTTTCGCGTGGGGCCCAGTGGGCCCTTGGTTTTTCGGGAACTGTTTCATGGATTTCTAGAGGCTTTCAGGACCCCTGGAAGCTTTTGAAAACCCCTGGAAGACTCGTCTTGGACACCTCCGCCCGCGCCTCGGGAAAGGCCCGCCCGAGGGAGCTGCGAGGGCCCCCCTCGGGAGGCCTGCGAGCGCCCCCTGTCAACGCGCGGACGCCTCCTTGCCGTCGCTCGGACGTCCGTTTCCCGTGCAGTTGTTGGTTTCGTGCGTGTTCTTGTTCGCTCGATGATCCAGGATGTTCCTCCAGGGTCCGCGCCGAGGAAAAAAATACACACGTCCGAGCGATGCCAGGCCTCCGAGGACCCCCGGGAGGCTGCGGCTCCAGGGAGCCGAAGCAGCAGCAGCAGCAGCAGCAGCAGCAGCAGGAACGCAGAAGGCGGGGGAATTCCGAGGATGGGGCGGAGGGCAGAGAGGGAAGCGGGAGGAGGAGCCGGAGGAGGAGGAGGAGCAGGAGGAGGAGGAGGAGGAGGAGGAGGAGGAGGAGGAGCCGGAGGAGGAGGAGCAGGAGCAGGACGGAGGAGGAGGAGGAGGAGGAGGAGGAGGAGGACGGGGAGCTGTGTGAAGCACGGAGCTGGAGGAGCGAAGGGCGCGCCGCGTCCAGCCGCGGGGCAGGGCGAGGGTGGGCAGCAGGAGGGCAGGCTGTGGAGGGAGAAGCCAGCGAGAGCGAGGAGCCACAGGTTTACGTCGGGCCTGTCCCCCCCCACAGGGGGATTTTCGGCGAGAAATAACAGATACCCCCAAAAGAAGGAAACAATTGTCCGAAGATAGTCTGGGGACTTTTTGGGGGGAATTTGTTTGGCCATTTTGGGGCCTGTTTTGGGTATGTTTTACTTTTCGTCGAACATCCCCCTGTAGGGGGACACGCCCGACATAACCAGAGGTCGAGTAGGGGATCGGCTGCGGTCGCCCCGCGTCGTGGGGACGCGCGAGAAGGCTGCAGGAGGCTTTTGGGGGGGCCATCTCGGAGCTCTTTTCGAGCGGAGCGCGCGGCCCACGAAGGCGGCGAAGGATGTTAGGAGGCAGCTACTGGGAGGTTTTCGTCGGAAAGATTAAGGAGGATTAAGCCCCAATTCGGGGGCTGTTACGCCAGAGTGGGCCTCGGACTAAGCGGGATTAAGCCGGATTAAGCGGGATTAAGCGGGATTGAGCCAGACTTCAGACCAGTGCAAAATCAGAATTTGACCTCCCAGGAGTTGCATCCCAAAGGATGGACCGCGGATGCAAGGGTGCTTGGGAAGGTTGCCCCTCCTTCCTATACGGGCTGACCGTGCAGAACTAGTGTGCCCCAAAATTGAATTTCCCGTCGGATCTAACAAGCATTCTACGCATTTGTTCGTTCACTCGGCGAGATAATCAAGTCGGCGGGCAACCTACAAGCACTCTACGTTTGTCGTACGTTCGACGAAGAAAACAATTTTGGGGATAGACCAATTCTGTGGTCGATCCCCTACCCGACGGGGAGCCGAACGATCGAGGAGGCGCAGGTCGAGGCTTGCGAGGAGGATCACCGCGGGGCACAGAGAGACCAAAGAGGGCGACGCGTGCGAGCAGACGCAGGGCGGCGCGGACCGCTGGACAGGCGCGTTCCACTACTCGCAAAGTAGCTGCTCGCGAATGGCCTGGATCCGCCGCGGGGGATCTACGATACATCACATGGAAGGAGCGCCCATTTTTGTTCGGACGTTTGCGAGTAACCGTTTGCAAGGGCCGGAGCATCCGGAGGACGCTCTGGGCGCCGCGGCTGTTCCAGAGCGGCCCTGGACGCCATGAGAGCGTTCGGGTCTGGCTTCGGGCCTCCAGAGACGGTCCCTGGACCTTTCCCCGGGAACGCCCTGGCCCCGGATCCCGAGCAGGACCAGGCCGCAACTTCCAAGCACCGCGATCCATCCTCAGGCCTGTACACCACCACGATCCTCGACCCGCGCCCTCCGTCACAGTGGACGCTGGCAGGAGGGGAAAGGACACAGCGGTCCTCGTGGAAGCAGGACCTGCATCCTGTGGGGCTCTCCTGAGGAACATCCCACATCGATCTTCCCACAACTTACCAGCCTGGAACATATCCCTATCCCTAAGCTGGGCATCGCCTCATCACAATGCCAATCTTAAGGATTCCCTTGTTATTTCAGGGCACATCCCTAAGGTTGTCATCGCCTGTTGGCGTGTCACTCTTAGGGATAGGGATAGGTTCGAGGCTGATAAACAACCTCGGTGCCTCCAGGCCCCGGGCGCTGGGAAGCGGCGAGGCCTCTCCAGGACCCCTCCTATCACCCAGGCCCCCGACGTCGTGTCTCTGTTGCTTCTCAAAGCGCCGACACGTAGAAAGGTCTGGGCCCCTTCCCTCGGGAGTGTTTTTTCATCCCGAGGCCCCTCCTTCTGCCCCCCCTCTTTGTTAATTCAAGCTGTGCGTGGCCCGCTTAGCCTCGACCAGAAGAGGTACGCTCTCGACCCGCGAATCAAAAAGTTGTTTCATCCCCAGTCGTTGTTTGACGGCCCCGAGGCCCGGTAGAGGGCCCCAGGAGTCCGAAAATAGCAAAGGCCTCCCGTCGTGATTTCCGTCAAAACTATGGGCCTCCTTGAAGGGATCAAACTAGATGGCGTCGGAGGATCTCGCCGCATCGCCGATACATCGGCGATGCATCGGCGATACACTGGCGACGCATCGTCGATGTCGGCGATGCATCGGCGACATCGACGTGAAACAAATCGGGCCCCACATCGAGCCGCATCGCCGATGCATCGGCGATGCGGCGCAATCCTCCGACCCCATCTGCTCCGACCACATCTGGAGGGCCCAGAGTGACTTGTTCACAACGCGAGGGGGTCTCGGAACGGCGAGGCCTCTCCAGGACCCACTCCTCCAAGACCCGTTTGCCTCGTGGCGGTCATGCTCAGTGCAGGCCGGGGCACGGCCCCAGAAGGAGAAGAGCGGAGCGATGCTAGCGAAGATGGAAAAGAATGGAGTTGGAGAAGTCGGGGAGGTCCAAGAGGAGGGCGTCCAAGGGGCGGGGGTGGGGGCGCAAGTCATGGCCGGCGGGATGTGCGCGGCCCAGGGGGGGGGGCCAGGGACGCATTGATGTAAGAAGAAGCGCCATGAAATCTGGGGAGATACCATGGCTCCCCATCATGAAATCCCCCCCCCCTAGTCATCACCCCCGTATTGGCCGCCCCAGAAGGAGAAGGAGTCTCAGGAGGAGCAGGATGACAGCGGGAGGGGAAGGAGGAGCAGGAGGAGGAGGAGGAGCAGGAGGAGGAGGAGGAGGAGGAGGAGGAGAAGGAGCGGGGGAGGAGGCGCGGGGGAGGGAGGAGCGGAAGGAGAGAGGAGGAAGGGAAGCCTCCGCAAGTGGCGCCTCAGCACGCTGAACCCCCCCCACGCCAGCAAAACTGCAGGATTCGACTTTGGCATGACACGAGCGGCACCTCCACTGAGGTTTCAGGGGGCCCGGCCCCCACGGGCTGCCCCAAGGGCGAGCCACTGGCCTTGGGTCGGGCCTGTCCCCCTACGGGGGGATTTTGGACGAAAAAGCAAAAAATAGTCAAAACTACTCCACAGTGGTCAGAATTACTATAAACAAATAGTCGCCATACTATATTTGGACTGTGTTTGAGTATTCCTCCTGCAGAGGGACGTGCCCGACTCAAGACTAGCCCTGAGGAGTCCCTTGACGGCCCTGGGGCGTGTGGAGGCCCCCTCCGAGCCCGAGACTCGGCTCGAGTCCGATCAACAAGACGACATCGATCCCTCAAAACATACACACCCGAGCCGAGCTTTGCCGACGCACCGCACTCGAATCGCACTCGAACCAGGTTTGTTCATTTGTCCGTATCGCACTCGAATGCTCTGTCAACGCAACTCGCTCCCGCACTCGAGCCGACCTTTTCGATCGCCCGTGACGCGACGTTAGTGAAGGGGAACTGGAACACACGAATAAATACACACAAATAAAATTAGTCCCCATATTTTCCCATATTTTCTGGGTTTTTCTCTTCCCCCCCACTTCCCATATTTTCCCATATTTTCCTGGGAGTTGACGATTAATTGTGTCTGTGTGTTTCTTCCCCTCCTGAGTTAGGACTCGCTGGCTGCGCGGCGACCATCGGCTGCACGCAGGTGTGCGCGACCGCCCGGGGGGGGACGCGGGGAGGCCGCGTCCCGAGCGCGCAGGCCGCTGCTGCCGCAGCGCCCTCGGCCATCTGGGGCCCCGCTGTTGTGGACGCCCGAAATTGATAGGCGTGTTTTCCACCACCACCACCATAAGTTGGAGGGGGGGGCCCTCCTCCTCTTCCTCCTCCTCCTCCTCCTCGTCCTCCTCTTCGCCCTCCTCCTCCTCCTCCTCCTCCTTCCCCCCTCTAAGATATGGTGGTGGTGGTGGAAAACAGGCCCATCAGAAATGGGCACGGAAAAAATGGGCACAATGCCCAACAACACATGTTGTCTGAAACCAACAGCGGCCGCTGTTGGGCGGGCGGCCTGCTGTCTCAGATGGGCACAGGCCGCGGCGGCGCGGACGGCGAGCCCTGCTCAAGATGAACAGGGCCTGCTGTTGGCCATTGTACCCATTCTTTCCGTACCCATTTTGGTCGTCGGCTGTGCCATCTCCAGAGCGGGGAAGCCCAAAGGTACCAATACCGCTACAGTCGGGCCGCTGAAAGAAGGAGCGCCAGATAAGGAACGAAACCCCTTCTTTGACCCCAAACGCACATCAGTGGGAACTGGAGATCCTGGCCGGAGATCCAGATCGGGCTCGACACCAAACTCGGCGAGCACAGGAAGTGGATCTGCGCGACCCGAAGAGGGTGGGTGGGAGGGCGAGGATGCCAGGTGGAGCGAGCGCACCCAGCTTGCCCACGTCCCCCCTTCCCTGTTCCATGCCCCCTATGCCAGGCTCACCGTGGACGAGGAACGCTGGAGAAATAGCCATGCACGGACCTACTCAATGCAAGGAACGTCGGGCCCCTTCACAACCCGAACGGTTCCTTATTTCAGCTTCTTGGCTGTACTCCCAGGACCTCTCCCGGGGTGCGTTCTGACGAGGATTTCGAGGCAGATCCAGCGGTGGCGACGGGGGCCTCCCAGGAGGCCCAAGAAGGGGAAAACGGGCGAGGGGATAGAGGTATGGGTACCTTTTCCTTTTTCCGACAGAGGTCACCCCGGCGACGGGTCACTCTGACGCGTAGCTGTGGCCAGCTCGCGGCGGCGGTCCGCCGCGGGCCAGGGCGTGACGGGGCCGGTCTCCTCCTGCTTCGTGAAGAAGTTTGAGAACACGGCCTGAGGGCATGCGGGCGCGCGCGCGCGGGCCGTCCCCACGGCCGCCGCGCTGGAACGAGCGGTAGGGCCTGCTCGTCGTCCTCCTCTCTCATTGTCCCTCGGCTTCACGTCATCATGCCTCCGCCCCCTGCTTCTCCTCGCACCTTTCACGCCTTCCTGCCACATCACCCGGCCCCCTCCTCACTGTCATCCCTCACCTCTATGTATCCTCCTCCTTATCATCCTCCTTCTCGCCGTCGTCATTAGCATCGTCACCATCATCACCACCAGCATCGTCATCATCATCAACGTCACCATTGCCATCACCATCACAATCCTCATCAACAGCAGCAACGACAGCAACATCATCAGCATCACCATCACCATCCTCAACATCATTATCATCATCGTCACCATCACCATCATCCTCGTCATCATCATCATCACCACCAGCATCATCACCATCATCATCATAATCATCATCCTCATCCGCATCATCAGCATCATCTGCATCCTCATCATCAACATAATCATCATAATCGTCATCATCATCACCATCACCATCACCATCATCATCATCATCATCATAATCAGCAGGGCCTCTTCCGACCCTCGTCGCCAAAGAGATGATGTATTTGTGAAGAGCAGCGCACGGCGGCGAACTCGCGACAACAAGGCGAGCCACTGGACAGATGAACGAGCCTCGCATCCGGCTGTAGAAGCCACACTCAAGCTCATAGGGGAAGAAAAAGGGAGGGAGGGAGAGCTTGAGCAAACGTGGCAGTGGCCATACGGCGATGCTCAACTACAGTGCCTGCTTCCCGTACTGAATACACACAGCAGGGCCTCTTCCGACCCTCGTCGCCAAAGAGATGATGGATTTGTGAGGAGCAGCGCGCGGCGGCGAACTCGCGACAACAAGGCGAGCCACTGGACAGATGAACGAGCCTCGCATCCGCAACCCGAACTCGAACTTGGCCTGGGGCCGAAAAAACAATCAGGGCTACCCTCCCATTCTGTCAGAGAGAGCGAGGGAGCGCTTGCTTTCACATGTGCGTACAAGTATGGCAGCGGCGGCTTTGGCAAAGGCAGCGGGGCAGGCGGCAGCAATGGCTGTCCAATGCTTCCCGCCTGGCGCCCGCCCACTGAGCTCGAGGTGGGGCCGGAGAGTCCTGCTGCAAATGCCTGGAGGGCCGCCGCATTTTTTCGACAGCTCCCACAATTCTCCGATGGCCCATGCTTGCACTCGAGTAGCTTTCCTCCAGGGCGCGCCAAAATTGGCACATGTGACAAATTACAGAAGAGCTGCTTTGCAAACTGAGAAGCTTCTGAAAACGAGGCGACGACGACATCAGGCTGGTCTGGGGATTCTCAATCATGACGCCTACATTGTGATTGAGGCATGCACGGATCACTTGAAGGGAAAATTGGAATGACTTATTTCCTATATCGAGCTTGCTAAACTGGTCAGGCGAAAGGTCAGGCCGCCCGTCAGGGTACTCAGCAGTCCGCAGCGGGACCCGGAGCGCACGGGTCCAGGTGCTGCAGGGCGTGCCGAGCCAGATCCCGGCGATGGCCCCACTCGCGATCCAGCCCAGGATCCTGTTGAGGAAGGTCGGGGTGAGATGGTTCTCAAGAGGCGAGCCGTTTATGTCCAGGCTGAGCGCTGCATAGCCCATGGCCTGCGCGCTGGCTGCGACGCGGCCACAACCCCCGAAGAGCTCGAGGAACAGCAGTGATCGCAAGCGCACTGCCCTGCCCAGGCTCGCAGCGAACCTTCTGCCGAGGTGGGCGCCCACGTCCCCGCCATGGACCAGGTGGGTCACGCCGGCCGCCGCTTTCGCCCGCGGCCGGCGGCGGGCGTGGCCCCGCCGCTCTGGCCCGCAAGCAACAGGCCCCTCACGCTCGCCGGGACCTGGTCGAAAAGCGGGCCAGTCAGCCCATGCTCGACGAGCCCCGTGAAGTGGGCCATCACAAAGTTCCCGAAGCTGAAGATGTCGCTGTGGACCTCTTGCAGCTCCCGCAGCAGGCGCGTGGCCTTGGTGCATCGGCGGAGGCTCGACGCTGACACCCACCGGCCTCGCGCCCGAACCTGCTCCAGGCTTCGGCGGCCGGCCAGAAGGCCGTCTGACGGCCCGCCGTGCCGGAGCGAGTAGGGATGAGGAGCGAGCTGCCCCAGCCCCAGCAGGTCCGCGGCCGCCTTGAAACTCATCCTGAATTCCACCGCGCCGAAGTCCCACAGCGAGGCGTCGGCGTGCGTCGCCGCCTGGAGCCCGGCCAGCGCTGGCAGGATCCAGCTGTCTTTGTCGATGAGCACCGCGTCGTCCGTGGTGCCGGTCTTGGACGGCTGGCCGAGCTCGAAGTCGTGGAGATGGAGCCCCCAGCTCGCGTAGCTCGCGCCTGCCGCCGACGCCGGGGCGACCAGGTGCCTGCCCAGCAGCGCAATCCCCTCCAGCGGTCTGAGGTAGCAGATGAAGGTCAGCATGGTGTAGATGGCCATTCGGCGCTGGCCGAGGAACAGCATCACCCCGGCGATCGCCGCCGCGCCGGTCTTCGGCATCGGCAGCCTCGAGCGCCCGGGCGCCCGACGCTTCCAGGCCCCGGCCGCGCGGCACGCGCGTGGCAGGTATAGCCCGCTGCGCCGGGCCAGGCTCGGGTAGACGCGCGCCAGCGCCGCGATCAGCTGCGTCCCCAGGTCCGAGCACTTGCCGTCCAAGAACTGATGGTTCAACAGCGCGGTGACCGCGTTGTCCAGCGACTCCCAGCTGTCCCAGTCCAGGTGGTACGTCCGGCAGAAGAGGGCCAGCGTCGCCAGGCGGTTCTGGCACTGCCTCTGCGCGTTCGGGCGGACCGCCGCGGACTCGAGGACCGAGAGGCCGAAGGCCTGCACCGTGGAGGCGGCCACCTGCTGGGCGTTCCTCGCCCGCTCGACGGCGGCCTGCGACGCCGCTGGCCGCCGGCGCCCCGCCATGCGGCCGGGCAAGGTGCACGTGATAGGGAGTAGTGAAAAAACCGTGATCGCCTCGAGACGGATTGTCAGCAGGATTGAGTTCGGATGGGACCCAACGTACAACTATCCTGCACCCTGTGGTCAGTGAAAGAGCAGCTATCTTCTGAAGCACGTGTCGGAGGTATCGAGAGTTTGCCCGCCCCTTTGTGGCCGCTAGGGCCAATGGTGAGTTGTCCACTATGAACAGGATCCTCTTCCCCAGAGCCCCAGTGTTTCTGAGCGTGTGACGAATGGCCATTAGGAGCGCCTCCCCCTCGAGCTCTAGGATGTCCGTGGACCCAGCGACCTTCGAGGCATGAACGACTTTCCAGGTGTCTGACTTCAGGAAGCCCATGGGGACCTCGTCGAAGTCCACGGGGTTGTCGACCAGCAGGTTCTCAAGGGCCTTGTCGGGGTCGTTGACGGAGTCCACAGGAGCCTGATGAAGTGCACGTTCGCGAGCCCGCTGGGCCCCGTCAACCCGAAAACGCCATCTCTCACTGCATCGGCCAATTGAGGATACCAGCTGGATGGGAGCTCTTCGGACAGTGACTCCGAGACCAAACAACGAAGCGTCTGATGCGGCTACCTCTGGCCACCACTCGGCGCCGAGGTCAACACTGAGCAGCGGTAAGATACAGCGCGCTCGCCAGAGCTCGCGCCGCACTGATCTCCACAGTCGGGCCTGTCGCTGCCCGATCCGCTCTGCAAACTGGTAGCATGGGTTGAGCAAAGAGAGGACTTCGCGACGAATCAACCCAGCCCATGTAAAGTGACCGATGATGATTCTGAGAGCGTCTCCTGAACAGAAGCCCTTCCTGAGCAGGGCGTCGATCCCAAAACGAAGCCTCCAAATGCTCCTGGCCTTAATCGAAAGATCACGTCCTCTCTTCAGCTCTAAGCCTACGAAAGTGGCATCGCGGGCGGCCGGCCCCTCATCGTGCGTGAGCAGCCCCTTATCCGTCAGCACGCGCGTGACGGCGAGGGCGGCCCGGTCGACGATGGCCGGTGAACGACCAAGGGCAGCGTAGTTGTCGACGTAGCCGGCGACCGCCAGGGCGCCCTCCTCGCCGACCACGACCCCGGCCTTCCCGTCCTCGATGCACTGCCCATCTGTGAACCCCGCGGTGTCCAGGGCCCGCCGCAACACGCCCTGACAGAGGGCCAGCGCGTGGCTCCAGCCCATCGGCAGCACGCAAACGCAGGGCTGCACCCGCGCCCCTCGCGCGAGCTGCGCCCCGCCCAGGTGCGTGATCCCGAGCAGGCTGGCATCCAGGGCGGGCAGCCTGAAGTAGGACGACAGGCCGTCGGGCAGCCGCAGCCTGTAAAAAGCATTGTCGATGTCGCCCGAGGCAATGTAAGTGTCGTGCCCTGGGTTCTCGAAAGCCGCCAGCGTTGTAGCCGTCGGCAAAGCGGTCCGAGCTGGTCGCCCGAAGAATAGATTTGCATACCTCGTATCAAATATCACTCTCAACTTGTTGTTCTTCTTCGCGACGAAGAAGCAGCCGACGGTGGCCGCATCGCAGTCCTCCTTCAGCTCCACCATGCCGCGGGCCAACAGCTTGGCGACAAAATCGGCGTAAAGCAGAGGCTTACTGAAGAGACTGGGGTCAAAAAAAGGTCCAGCCGGGCAGAACTCAGCACGTTCGGCTGCTGTAGGTTGATCTGGCCTGAGCAAGGTGCTTTGCCAGCGGCCCAGCCACTCAGACTCGGCCTCGCCCAGGCAGGCGCACAGCGGGACGGGCTGCGCGTCGGGCGAGGGCCAGGAAATGGACTCCTTGACATACGGCCGTCGGGAAGAGAGATCACCCGTCTGGTAGATCCCCGCCCCCGCGAGGAGCTCACGAAGGGCTCCCTCGCGAAAGCCTGCCTCTGGTGGGGGCTTGCCCAGCGCGCGCACTCGCGACTCGACATGCTCCACTGCGTGTCGCTGACCAGCGTGGGCGGGGGCCGCCGGCCGATCCTGGTGGCCGTGCAAGTCGTTCAGGGCGTCGATGCAGTCGTCGCCCCAATCGAGGATGTGCTTGGTAGCCTCACCACGCCGCCTGGTGACCCTGGACAGGTCCCGGCGGCCCGCCGCGCAGACGTGATCTCGGCACAGCGGGGGCAGCGGAAAAATGTCGCGCTGGCGGGCACTCTGCCCCAGCATGTCAAAAACCTCTCTGTTCGGCGGACCGGTAGAGGCACCGCGGTCCACAGGCGTCTCAGTCAGGGGGCCGCGCCGGCCGCCTGGAACCGGCGCGGCCGAGGGGAACATCACCCCTCCTCCTCCTTCTTGTTCTTCTTGTTGTTCCCCTTCTTGGCAAGCTCCCTCTCCTCCCGGGCCTTGCGCCGCTCCTTGAGCAGCGCCTGCTCCTTGGCCAGCTGGGCGCTGGCCCACTCCTGGAGGAGAGGGCATACACGCACTCCTCCTCGTGTCAGCTCGCTGCCCATGTACAGGTGAGTGTCGACGCTGTCGGGGCCACCGCCTCCTGAGCCGCCCGCGCTCCTGTCGCGGTACCTCTCCTGCTGCACCTGGATGTTCCGCACGAGCAGCTCCACGGTCGCCAGGTTCGCGCCATTGCACTGGTCGTAGCAGATGAGCTCCTCCAGCGCGCGGCACGAGCGCTCATGCTCCTGCACCCCGGGCTCGTGCTCCTGGAGGCGGGCCTCACTGCGCCACCGAGAGTGCATCCCCGTCGGCGTCCCGCCGTGGTCGACGATGTACCGCAGGACCCAGAGCGCGGTGCGCGGCCCGCGCACGGGCCACCCCGCCCACGGGTCTTCCCGGCAGGCCAGCACCGCCTCGCGGAACTCCCGCCGACGGTTGCCCATGGCGTCGTACACCACCGGGAGCACCCTCGCGTCCTGGACATGCCCGCCAGCACCCGCACCACCCGCGGGCGCGCCTCCCGCCGCAGCGGGCGGGCCCGCGGCGGCTGCGGCGGCGCCCGCGTCCGCGGGCACGGGGGCGGCGGCGGCCCCTGGGGCCCCGGCGGCAGCGGCGGCGAGCACTCCGTCGGCTCCTGGAGCCACGACCGCCGCGGCGCCGGCCGCAGCGGGGGCGGGCAGCGGGGCTGGAACCAGCACGCCGGCTGGTGCTCCTGCCGCTGGGCCGCCGAGCGCCGCCACCAGGCCGCCAAGCCCCGCCGCCGGGGCCACTCCGCCCGGCGCAGCTGCCGCGGCCGCCGCTGGCGCGCCAGGTGCCCCGCCAAGCGGGGCCGCGGCGCCTCCGGCTTCGACCGCGCCAGGCGCGGCACCTCCCGCCGGCGGCCCGACGAGGCGCCCGCCGAGGGCTGGCACCAAGGGCCCGCCTGGCGCGGGCTGGCCCAGGCGCCCGGCAGCAGCCACAGCGGACGCCGTGAGGCTCGCGGCGGTCGGCATCGCACCAGCTCTGAACCGATAGTATCGCGCTCCTGGCTGACCCATCAACACGCCACCCGGCTGTCGGTTTGGCAGCGGCTCCCACTCGACGATGTCGGGCAGGCCCCACACCTCCTCGTACTCGTCACCATCGGGCGTGGTGATGGACACGGTCAGCCCGGCACCCAACGGCAGGTAGTGAACCAGCCTCTCGTGGTACAGGGGCACACCTGGGACGTTGTAGCGCACCACACAGAAGTCGCCCACCTGCAGGTCGTGCGACGCGGTGAGCGGGTGTCGGCCAGCAGCTGCCAGCATCATTGCGCCAGAGCCTTGGCTTTGTACTGAGCCACCTGGGCCCGAGCAGTGGTGTCCAGGTCGTCGGCGTACCGCCCGCCCTTAGCTCCCCAGCGCGTCAGCCGGCCCGTGAAGAAGGACAGCAAGGCGACGCCAGCGCAGAGGACCGCAACCGTGAGCGGCGTCACCGGCGCGATGTAGGCCACGTCGCCAGTCGTGCAAGTCAGTGGCGGACACTTCAGGACTGGCGAGCACTCACACGCGGGGCAGGTCGGCCGCCCAGCCCACACGACGAGGCCAGTCGAGGCCCCCTCTGCGATCCGCCCGACAAGCTGGCGAAGGGCGGCTTGCATCACCAGAATGGGAGGGCGCCCTGACTCAGAGCTTGAGCAAACGTGGCAGTGGCCATACGGCGATGCTCAACTACAGTGCCTGCTTCCCGTACTGAATACACACATCATCACCATCATCATCATCATCATCGTCATCATAATCAGCATCATCTTCATCTTGTCTACCATCATCATAATCATGTCTATTATCAGAATCGTCTGTCGATCCCTCATCATCATCTGGTCTCCTCCTCCTGTCTCCTGCCTCCTGCCCGCCTCGTTCCTCTTCGTTTCCCTCGTCCTCTCCCTTCGCCCCACTCCTCCTCCCCCTTCGGCCCACTCCTCCTCCTTGTCCCTCTCCCCTCTCATCGTTCGCGCATCACCCTTCTCATGACAAGTTTCCGCGTCCTCCGATCTTCCCTCTTCCTTCTCGAGATTCCTCAGGAGCACACTCGCTGCAAAACCCCGCATCAAACACACAACAACTCGAGCCTCCACCGATATCCCCGCCGACCATTGCTCTGAAACTGACAGGCGCTGGTGTGCTCGATGAACTACGCTTTCCATGCTGCCTGAAATGGCATGAGCCCAAGGTAAATCTGTCCCCTGCTGCTAAGCACAGGAAGGTTGGCAAGGGTCAACAGAACTATTATCTATAAGAAATTATGTACAATCACACACACAATCGAAGAAAGTCGTTACTCGCATGCCCGCGAACACTGCGCACCCCATTTCGGATTCTCAAAAAAAGACGTAGTCCACAGACCCTTCCTTCCCCTCGGATTAATATGCGGAGCGTTGTGTGCAGAATCCTCGCAATTTACTAGGGATCGTGGCAGCTGGAGCGCGGAAGCGTCGTATTTTACTAGGAGTCGTGGCGCTTGGAGCGGGACGCAACGTAATCTACTATCGATCGTTGCCGTGAGAGAGCGAGTTCAGAGTAATGCTAATGGATCGTGGCCCTGGGAGCGTGAGTTCAGCGTAATTTGAAATGGATCGTGTAAGAACGCGGGGACAGCATAGTTGATTGAGTAGGGATTGTGGAGGGGTCCGATGCAGCAGAATTCTGAAGGGGATCGTGGCTCTTGGAGCCCCCCTGTCGATTCGTCCAGTCGCGGACCTCATTCGGATCTGGAACTCGAGCTGGTTGAGCGCCCCGAACGGTTCGACAACAACCAGCTCTTGGGCGAGCATTGCATTCCCTGCAGCTCGAACCTGGTCGAAGTGCGGACGCAAAAGACGACAGCATTCGCGACGCGGTGCAGCACCCGGACAGCTCGGCATCACATGAGACGACGCAAGTCAGCACGGCACGGCACGGCACAGAATGGCGCAGCGCAGCACAAATCCCTTGCGCAGCCTCATCACCACGGATACCCTCCGCCCCGCCAGTGCTCACTGCCAAGGCCAGGGCCGTCCACATCCTCTGACGGGTTCGTGGATCGGTCGCGTGCCTCGCCCTCCCCCCGCTCCCCCCAGGCTCTACGAAGCACGTGTACAGGGCAGTTTCTAACACATGGGATTTTTAAGCATATAGGATGTTTGATAAATGATTAGTTTATGGGTAAAGTTATGCATGAACTCATCGTTGTTTTTTCATACTAGTTCCCTGCATGTGTTATACATGATCCGCACGCGGAGCATGTATTAAAAACGGCACGTGTACTGCCTCCGTGCGGTCCAGAGAGCGCCCACGACGGCCCCGACTCCCCTCCCCCAGGGCGCCACACGAGGGCCCCTGCACACCAGGAGGGGGCCAGAATACTCCCAGGATGCCCCACCCCAATACTGCTTCAGGACGCATCCCTTGGGACTCTAAGAGCGGCAAACTAATCGAGAAGGCATCCCTCTTGACACCTTCCTCCTCCTCCTCGTTCTCATTAGCTTCCCCCTGCTCTTACTTTCGTTTATCGTGTTTCTCCTCCTCCTCCTCGTCCTCCTCCTGTTGGTCATCATCCTCCTCACCCGGCTCGCAAGACAACTCGGCAATGCATCGGTTCGGGATGGGCTTGTGGGCACACGCGGAGTACTCGGAGACTCGGAGAAAACATCATTGCCGAATGTAGTGCACGGATGAAGGGCGGGCCGGTTTCAGAATCTGGTTTACTGCACCCAGACAATTCATCCTAGACGATTCCAGCCTGGAACCTGCCGCTGCGCCCAAGCCTTGCACCGACGTTCCCATCATCTGCAGCGACAGGAGGGAGGGAAGGAGGGGGAGGAGGGGAGCGGGGGAGGAGGAGGGGTCGAGCGAAGGAGGACCAAAGCAAACCCAAGACTCATCAACGGTGTAGCACTAAGCCGTCCTCGCAGGCTCCTGTGAAAATCTATCTTTTAGACGCCCGAAATGGGCACGGAAACAATGGGCACAATGCCCAACAGCAAATGTTGTCCCGAACCAACAGCGGCCGCTGTTGGGCAGGCGGCCTTCTGTCTCAAATGGACACAGGCCACGGCGGCGCGGACAACGGATCCTGTTCAAAATGAACAGGAACTGCTGGTGGGCATTGTACCCATTCTTTCCGTACCCATTTCGGGCGTCCAGATATCTTCGCTGCGGAAGTCCAGAAGACAACCGTCTGACAATCTTCCACTGTGCAAAAGAACCACTCCTGGGACTGGAACGCCGCGCATCATCGTCTGATTGCGACTTGACGGTGCCGAATCGTTCCAGCCCGGGGACGTCATCTCCGAGAATCAGCGTGACGGTCGCGCCCTGGCAATCCCAAATCGTGCCGAAACACCATCTCGGATACGTCAATCCTGAGAACGCTTGACACTGCTGAGCACTGTTAAGGCGAAAGCGCGCGGCACTACAGCGAGAACCGCATGCTGAAAAGGAATCGCCCTCCATCCATAAAACGCTTGCACATCACGAGCTCCAGGAACATACATGGTGAAGAAATTTCTGGCGAACCGCCCAGCCCGCCCGACCGAATTACTTACGCAGCACCCCGCAGTTGCGGACAAGAGCGAGGGGGCGGCGGGGACGTCTGCAGTCTGCGAGGCTCTGAAGAAGCCCGCCGCAGGCGCAACAATTTCAAGCTATACAACAGACCCGCCGCAAACGCCGGTTTTTTGTTAAAACAATGTGGTTGGGTCGCGGGTTGGGTCGCAGGTGGGTCGCGGGTGGGTCGACGGTAGGTCGCGGGTGGGTCGCGGGCCAGGTCGCGGATGGGTCGCGGGGTGGGTCGCGGGTGGGTCGCGGGTGGGTCGCAGGCGGGTCGCGGGGTGGGTCGCGGGTGGATCGAGGGGTGGGTCGCGGGTGGGTCGCGGACCGGGTCGCGGGGGGGACGACAACAACAAACAACAACAACAACAACAACAACAGCAGCAGCAACAACATCAACGCGACAAGCAGAATCCTCACCACGGATTCGCACTTCAGCCACGCACCCAGGGACAATAAATGACCGTTCGGCACCCTCACTCTGATTTGCATTTTGTATACTGTCTGGGTCGCGGGGTGGGTCGCGTGTGGATCGCGGGGTGGGTCGCGTGGTGTCGCGGGTGGGTCGCGGAGTGGGTCGCGGGTGGGTCGCGGGGTGGGTCGCGGGTGGGTCGCGTTGTGGGTCGCGGGTGGGACGACGACAACAAACAACAACAAACAACAACAACAACACCAACAACAACAACAAACACAACAACAACAGCAACGACAACAACAACGACAACAACAACAGCAGCAGCAACAACAACACCAAGAACAACACCAAGAATATTAACACCCAACACGCGCCCAGGGACAATGAATGACCGTTCGGCCCCCTCGCTCTGATTAGGAAGAGGGGTGGAGAGGGGGGAGGACGGAGGAAGATGCGTTGCATGCGCAGTTGTCTTGCGTGGTTCGCGTGTATTGTTTGTTTCCCCCCTTCCGATTGGCATGCGTTGCTTGCGCTTTTGCCCCGAGGGCGTGCCAGACGGGACTGGCCTCGTCAAGTCATGCCCTGAGTCAAGAACGCGAGGGCGCACTCGTCATGATCTTAACGGGTGTCCAGTGCTTCGCGAAATTGCCTGCCCGACCCCACTGTGTACTCGAACCCATGGCAGCGTCTCTTGGTTGGCAACCTTCAGCAATGGAACACCATCGTTTATAGCGTTTCGTCGCGTCTGTCTGTGATGTGTCGCGAGATAGCATTGGCAGTTGTGGTGTTGTGTCCTTCTCCTGCGTGTAGTGCTCATGCAATTCTGCCACGCGCCAAGCCATGCTGACGCAAGCTCGGATCAAACGTGGCGCATGCACAGCCGACGACGATGGGCTTTGCAAGAGGTGCCGCGAGCAATTCTCGTTCAGGCAACGTCTCATGTCGCACTGGCCAAACCCTCATCGGACCGTGTGCTGGCTGAGAATCGTTGCAAGCACCTCCCGAATGGATACCAACAATGTATTCGCAAGCTTCTAGACGCTGCCGGCACTCTCGCCCACAGAACAGGGAGAAAGCATGGCCACACGCGACCGCAAAATGCCGGCCCCGCGAAACAAGTCCTAAGCGGTCTGACCCGATTCGAGCTCTGGGAAGCCAGCATCCTCCGAGACAGCGCCACCGCATGCGAACGGAGCGGGAAAACTCTTGGCGGAAGAAAGCTTCTGAGGTGGTTTCTGCGGACAGCAACTGGTGCAGACGGTGCAAGTTCGGCCAAGCTGCACTCTGTGGACGCAAGACTGGCCAGGCCGACGTCCGCACGGGCACGCAGTCCTCCAAGGGGTTGGCACGCACGGCGCAGGCATCGAGCTCGTTCCAGGTCCCCCCCGACCCACCCGAACGACCACGTCAGAAGACAGGAGTTTAGTTCTTAGCCGACGAAAGGGGTTACGCGTGCCTGCAACGAGTGAGGCGCAGTCTGTCTGGCAACCCATGGCCGGAGCGGTGCTGGTGCCCTCGCTCCCACCAGCCTGTGCTGGCTGGTGCACTCGCTCGATCGATGCTCCAGGTTGAAGGGGCCCCAGGACACACAAACAAATACACACAAATCAAACAACCCCCATATTTTCCCATATTTTCTGGGTTTCTGTCTTCCCCCCCACTTCCCATCTTTTCCCATATCTTCCTGGGGCTCGACGATTCATTGTGTCTGTGTTTTTTTCCCTCCTGACCGATCGGGCAAGGCGATGGCAGGCACCATCGGGCCCAGACCGCGCGCCTCCTGCGGAGGAGGCGGTGGTAGGACGATGCCCTGGGCGAGGTGCCGTGGCCACACAGTCGAAGCTTCCCTCCCCGAGGGGCTCTGGCCCAGGGAGCGGCGGGCTGAAAAGGCGTGGGGCCAGGAGACCTCGCCACTCCACGGGGCCCGGAGGGGGGAGGCAGGAGGGAGGGAGGGAGGGAGGGAGGAGGGAGGAGAAAGGGAGGGAGGGAGGAGGAGGAGGAGGAGGAGGAAGAGGGGAGGGAAGGAGAGAAGAAGGAGGGAGGGGAAGGATGGCGGGAGGAGGAGGAGGGGGAGTGAGGAGAGAAGGAGGGAGGGGGAGGGAGGGGAGGGAGGAGGGAGGGAGGAGGGAGGGAAGGGAGGGGGAGGAGGGAAGGAAGGAGGGAAGGAGGGGAGGAGAGGGAGGGGGGGAGGGAGGGAAGGAGGGGGAGGGGGAGGGAGGGAGGGAGGGAGGGAGGGAGGGAGGAGGAAGAGGAGGAGCAGGAGGAGGACGAGGAGGTGTTTGACGCCACGGGTGCGCAGCGCGCCCCGGGCTCTGCGACGGCCGCGGCGGCGAGGTGCCCCCGCCTCCCCTCGCCGAGCGGCCCCCGCCCCCCCCGACAGCTGGCCCCCTTCGGGAGCCCGCGGCGGGCCCCGCGCGGGGAGGGCCCCTCCGGGCACGGGTCGCCGTCGCCGTCGCCGTCGCCGTCGCTTTCGCCGTCGCCGTCGCCGTCGCCGTCGCCGTCGCCGTCGCCGTCGTCGTCGTCGTCGTCGTCGTCGTCGTCGTCGTCGTCGTCGTCGTCGTCGTCGTCGTCGTCGTCGTCGTCGTAGTCGTCATCGTTCTCGTTCTCGTCGTCCTCGTCGTCGTCGGTCGTCGTCGTCGTCGTCGTCGTCGTCGTCGTCGTCGTCCTCGTCGTCCTCGTGATCCTCGTCGGCGTCGTCGTCATCGTGGCGGTCGCCGTCGTGCTCGTCATCGTCGTCGTCGTGGCGTCGTCTTCGTCGTCGTCGTGGTGCTGGTCGACCTCGTCGCCGCGGGCACCTCTGGGGCGGGCTCCCCACACGGCAGGGGGCGCGGCCCAGGCTTTCGGCTTGCTCTCCGCGTCCGGCGATGCCGCCTCGTCCTCGGCGCGGCAAGGCAAGCGGAAGGGGGGCCGACGGAAAGGGGGCTTCCGGCGGGGCACCGATCCCTCGCCCTCGAGGGAGGGAGGAGGAGGAGGAGGAGGAGGAGGAGGAGGAGGAGGAGGAGGAGGAGGAGGAGGAGGAGGGAGGAGACAGGGAGGAGGAGGAGGAGGAGGAGGAGGAGGAGGAGGAGGAGGGAGGAGGCTCCGTAGCCATTTTGGCTCATGCCTGCCTTGGGCGCTAGGCGGGCTAGGTGCCTGCGTTTGCCTCGCTCTCCTGCTGCTGCGCTCGAGAGCGGCTCATTCTCCTTCCCCTTCGCCGCGTTCCGCGATGGCGGGGAAGGACGGCGACAAGGAGATGGCTACGGCCGGGAGCAGGGTCGCCTTCGCGGCGGCGGAGCTCCCCGGGGCAGCTGCTGCTGCCGCGCCCTCGCAGTGGCCGTCGCGACGTGCCAGGCAAGCCGCCGCCCGCGCGGCTGGGGCTGGTCGCCTGGAGGCGGCGTGGCGGCGCATCCTCGTCCTCGAGGCGCGCGTGCAGGAGCTGGAGACCGAGCTGCACCACACGGCGGCGGCGGGGGGGGCCGCGGCCCGTGCGGCCGCTTGCGCCGCCACCGCTCCTGCCGGGGGTACGTCCGCGGCGGACGGCGAGGCCGAGCGCGGGGACTCCGTGCCGAAGGACGTGTCGGAGGAGCTCGTGGAACGCCTGGCCCTCGTCGCACCAGTTTTGAAGGCGGACATCGACGGCTCGGACGTCAGCGCCATGGAGGTGGGCAGGCGCAACGTGGTGACCCACCACCCTCAGCTGCCTGCCGCCGCCGTCCGCGCGATGCTTCCATGCGAGCTCAACCGAGTTCAGCGTGAGGCGCGGCGCACGGGCACGAGGCGGAGGCTCTGCAGCCGACGGGCAGCCGCGGCGCGGGGCATCAGCGTGCGGAGGCGGCCTCTGCACCGCAGTCCGCCTGCATCGGTCACTAGTGGCGTGCGGCACGCAGGCGATGGCGAGAGCGGAGCCATGGACACGGGCGGAGACGAGCTGCCCGCTGGCGACGTTCCCGACTACAGCCACACCGTCGACCTCGACGAAGGGGGCGCCATGGGCAGGGGCAGGCGCGCGCCTGGCCGCCCCGTTAGCAGCCGTGATGCCGCCAATGATCTCAGAATGCTCTGGAATGGAGTGGACCCCAGCTCGAAGACGAGCTTCGGGAGGTCTGTTCCGCTCAGATGGCAGGTTCAGACGGGTTGGTCGTCCGCCCCCGCCTGAACTCATCTTTCAACACTTGCCCTTTGTACTGTTTTTGGGCTGCCTTATCGCTCAGCGGTAACGGACAGCTAATGAGCCAACAGGAGCCAACAGGAGGAGGAGGAGGAGGAGGAGGAGGAGGAGGAGGAGAGGCGCCCGGCCCCGAAAGGCTCGGAGAAGTCGGGCCCTGCATCCAGCGAAGGTGCAGGGCCCCAGCGACACACAAACAAGTAGGCACAGATCCCAAGGTCCCCCGTATGTTTCCATGGTCTGGATTTTCCGTCTTCTCCACCACTTCGCATATCTTCATGGGAATCGACGTTTGTGTGTGTGTGTCTGTGTGTGCGCGCGAGTGTGTGAAAGCGTGTGTGTGCGCGTGTGTGTGGTGTGTGTGTGTGTGTTGTGTGTTGTGTGTGTTGTGTGTTGTGTGTTGTGCGTGTTGTGTGTTGTGTGTGCGCGCGAGTGTGAAAGCGTGTGTGTGTGTGTGTGTGTGTGCGTGTGTGTGTGTGTTGTGTTTGTGTGTGCGTGATGTGTGTGGTGTGTGTGGGAGAGAGAGAGAGTGCGTGTGTGTGTGCAATGTTATGTGCATATCTATATGTATATATATATATATAAATATAGGTATGTGTGTGTGTGTGTCTGTGCCTCTTTTTCTCTCCTGGGAAGAAGGTGCACCTGGAAGCGTACCGTGCTTCTCCCGTGAAGCTGCCCGGCGGTTGGCACGCTCACGGGAACGTGAGTGGTGGCCAGAGCTCCATGGCTTGAAGCGCCACCTGCTGCCGCGGCGGCGCTGAGCCAACTCACTGGGGCTACGGCTGACCCAACAACGCCCTCCTTTCCCTCCCTCTTCTCCATGCCCCTCCCCCGCGGCAGGCAGACGGCATGTCGATCCTCCTCGTCCCCCCTCCTCGGGCACCACGATAACACGGAGCAGGGATCCTCGGGAGCGGCCAAGAGGGGGGGGTCCAAGAGGGGGGGGTGCAAATCATGACGGGCGGCATGTGCGCGGCCCACCGGGGGGCCAGGGACGTAATGAAATAAGAAGAGGCGCCATGAAATCTGGGGAAATATCATGGCCTACGCCATGATATCCACCCCCCCTAGTCATCACCCCCCTCTTTTCCGCCCCCGAGATCCGTGGATCCGGCGGGCGGGGCCCCGCTCCGGGGCTTTTACGGGCCCCCCCCGGGAAACATGGGGCCAGTGCCGCCCGACGTGGCGAAGGCACGCCCCGAGTCTGCACCGAAGCGGGGATCGTCGCGCCGCTCATCCACGCGCCATAATCCATGTTGGCGCCACCTGGATCCTCTCCCCACCTGTCGGCGGTGGACTAACCTCCCTTTAGTAAGCCTCCCCCTAGTGAAAACGGCCTAGGACCGAAACCGACGGACCTGGACCCGCAAAAATGACGGCCGCGACGCCCTCTCGCGAACCAAAAACTGCCAATTCCCTGATCGACGTGTCAGGGTAGGGGGTCTATCAACCTCCGATCCTGTGCCTCTTCTCCCTTCCACCCCCCCCCCGTCTGGCCTGGGACCGCTTCGCGCTGCTCTCGAGCTTCTTGAGGACCGCCTCTTCTGCCCCCCCCCCACCCCGCCCGGCGGGGCAGCGGGAGGGGCAGGCGCCGCCGGGAAGGCGACGCAGAAGAAGACGACTCGCCACTGCGCGTGGTCAGTGCCGTGCTCCGCCCGCGCGTGCAGACGTGCAAGCTTCTTCGAAGGATTACCGACTGCGTGCGGTGAGATCGAGTATAGCGCGCAGCGTGCAGCATCGCGTACAGTTCGACGTGTGCCAGACGAACATCCTTCAAGAGCATGAAGCCTCCGCTGGCCAAAACGAAGGAGCATTCGAGGATACCCTCCCCTCAGGATGCACAAGAACATCCAACAGACACGAAGAACATTAGGGCACCCTCCACGAACCGACCTCGATCGTGTAGCTCGGTCCGGCTGTACGAGCTCGCACGCAGGCAAACGCAACTCGTGAGACCTCTCGTAGGCTGGGGGTGGAGGCGCCAGGCAAAGGAGACAAGGACCTGGCAGAAGAGGAGTAGCCGGAGCTCCGAGCCTACGTTGGGAGGCATCTACTGGGAAGCCTTTGCAATGAAGGTTGGGGATCTCAGGCCCAATTCAAGCGGTCATCAAGGCAACTCATGCCACCTTAAGCCCAAGCTTATACCACATGAAACATTCGGCGACATGGGCCTTATGTATTAGGAGGCAACTACTGGGAGGTTTTCTTCGGAAAGATTACAAAGGATTAATCCCCGTTTGGGAGCTGTTACGCCGGAGTGGGCCTCGGATAAAGCGGGATTAAGCCGGATTAAGCGGGATTAAGCGGGATTAAGCTGGATTTCGGACCAGGGCGAAATCAGAATTTGACCTCCCAGGAGTTGCATCCGAAGATTAAAGCGACCATGAAACCAACTCATGCCAGCTGAAGCCCAAAATGATGCCGAATCAAACCAGATGAGGCGGCACGGGAAGTCTTCGCAGGAGAGGTTGAGGACCTCAGGCCGGATTCAAGCGGCCGTCAAGACAAATCATGTCATATTGAGCCCAAGGTGATGCCAAGTTGACCACGTCAGTGTGGCAATATAGGACACGTCGCACATAGATGTAAGGCAATTGAAGGTGACAATAGATGATGCCTCTTGATGGCCGTTTCGATCGGGTCTGGCATCCTGAATATTTCGTGCGAATGCGCCATGGTCTAGGAGGCATGTAAAGTATTCGCAAGCAATAAGGATTGAGGATGTCAGAATCGATTAAAACGGCCATCGAGACAGAACATGCCAGCTCAGGATACATGAAACGAGATTCTGCCAGATGAGGCCGGTTTTCGCAAGCGCCGAGGTTGAACCCCACCTCCCAAACAATGTAGTGTATCCTGACAGATCCTGAGCAACTGGCGTCCCCTCGGGCTTGCAAGCATCCGGGCTCCAGAGACGCCACACGTTGCAGGCACGTGCCCGTGAGTGGGACAGCAGAATTGTGGCGGCCTTCGCTAGATAGTATGTTTTGTTGTGTGTAATTGCCGCTCTTTCTCGCTCATCGAACGGGTCTGTCTTGATGTGAGACTGCAGCCAAACAAGCAGCAGCAGGAGGAGCAGGACATTGAAAGAAGAGGCATGAGCAACGAACATCGGCGACATCACCATCGTCGGGATCAAGAAAAGGTCCTCCCGGTCTTGCTGGAATCCCGCTCAAGGCGTCTGCAACATTCCGCTCGGGGGAGCATCGTCCTTCGGCTCGAGGTGACCTGCAGGTGGTGATGTCGCTTCTCCTCCGGAAGATGAAGACGACAAGAACGATGCAGGGAAGGCAAGGATGAGGAAGTCGAGGAGAAGTACTGCTGGCTGGCAACAGCAATTGCGCCTGGCCCTTCTTGCTCTGCGAGTCGAGCTCCAACTCGGCCCGCCATGGTGGGTCGGGGCAGGTTGGGGAGGCAGAGTGGGAGAGACGAGGAGCATGGGGGAGGTGCAGAAAGGAGTGTGAGCCTGGCATGGGGAGAAGGAGAGGGGGGGGGGCATGGAACAGGGAAGGGGGGACGTGGGCAAGCTGGGTGCGCTCGCGCCACCTGGCATCCTCGCCCTCCCGCCCGCCCTCTTCGGGTCGCGCAGATCCACCTCCTGTGCTGGCCGAGCCTGGTGTCGAGCCCGATCTGGATCTCCGGCCAGGATCTCCAGTTCCCACTGATGTGCCCAGGGCACCAGGGCAAGCTGACTACCTACCAGGACACCCCAGCCCAACCCGAAGACCCGAATTTCGGGTTGGGGGGGTATGGGCTCCATGTGTGTTTTTTCGATGTTCCCGGACCCCCCCCCACTGGGAATGGAGGGCAAATTGAGGCCTTCGGGTTGGGTTGGGGTGGTTTGGTGGGTGGTGACAAGCGAGCCCAGAATCGGATCGATGATTCGGCTCGGCGATCGAAGTGACCTGGCTCGGCGGCACGCGGCACCCGAGTCGGGAGAACCCGCACCAATCGAGAGCGGGAGGCCAACCTGCCGCTGCCGCGAACGCGGAGCCCGACTCGGAATCCGAAGTCGAGCCGAGCCGGCATCGCAAGACATCGGCATCTCGCCATCGCTTGGACGTCCATTCCGTGTGCATGTTTCGGTTTCGTGCGTGCATTTTTGTTCGCAGCGTGAACAAACATTCTCCTCGATGGCCCTTGCCGATAAAAAAAGGCACGCGTCCGAGCGGCGCCAAGGCATCGAAGCGCACCCGCTCGGAGGAGCCGAAGCGAGCCCTGCGCAGAGCCCGCCCCCCGACCTCGCATCTTACTCACAACGTCGACGCCCAGGAGGTCTGGACCCCTGGCCTCGGGACCCGTTTTTTCTATCCTGAGTCATGTCTTGGGCGGCCCCGAGGCCAGTGAATGGAGGGGCCCTGAGACACACAACTAAATACGCACAAAGAAAAAGATTCCCAAGACTGTTCCATCTTTGGGGGGGTTTTGTCTCCCCCCCCCGACTTCCCATATCTTCCCACATTTTCTGGGGGATCGCCGATGAATTGTGTCTGTGTGTTTCTTTCCCCCCAGAGGCCGAAAATAGCGAAAAGCTTGCCGTCGTGATCTTTGCCACAGCGCGTGGGGGTCTGGTGGGGGCCCGCGGGGACCAGGAGGCGCGCGCACAGGCCGGGCCCCGGACCCCCCAACGAGAGGGCCGCAGCACGGCGTGGCCCGCCGGAGGTCCTGGGCCGCCTCCGCGCAGCATCGCCCGCGCCATGCATCAGTCCACGCACTCATGAAGGGGCCCTGGGACACACGAACAAATAACCAGCTTCCCCATATTTTCCCATATTTTCTAGATGTCTGTCTTCCCCCCCACTTCCCATATTTTCCCATATTTTCTTTAGAATCGACGATTCATTGCGTCTGTGTGTTTTTTCCCCTCCTGAACTCAGCCTTACGCACTGAGCCACTGCAGGGGCCTTGCGCATGGGGCTCGGTAGCGCCGGCCACGCGTTCTCTGGCTCCAGAAGAAGACAGAGCGACACAGACATGAGCTTCTGGCGCCCCGCGTGGATTTCGTGGATCTGCGCAGGACCCTCCTCCCCTGGCCATCGCTCGGACGTCCATTCCCTGTGCTCTCTTCGGTTTCGTGTGTGGTTTCTCCGTAGGATGATTAAGGATGCTCCTCGATGGTCCTCGCCGAAGGAGAAAGGCACACGTCCGAGCGATGCCAAGACCCTGGCGCGCGGAGCGTGCCAGGTGTGGCGCCGGAGGCGCTGCCAGGGGGGGGGGGGGGGGGGCAGCGCGGGGGGGGGGGGCAGCACGGATCCAAGAAATCCGCGCGGAGCGCCGAAAGCTCATGTTCATGCCGTTTTGTTATTCTTCGATTGCTCGCCCGCCCATGCCGACATCCGTCTCGCCGTGTTGTGCGCGCGGGCCTCCGCACCGCGGTGCCGACGCCCCTGGCGGGGAGGCTCGGACGTCTCCGCGGCTCCCGTGCCGAGGTTGTCCGTGCCATCTGCTGCAACGTCTGTCCTCCGCCTCGACCTCTCTGCAACCGTCAGTGGAGGTACCCCCCCGAGAAGTGCTCTGGAAACGTTCGTAAGCTTGCCGTGGCCCTACCCCCATCACTCCCTTCCTACGCACCCCCCAATCTGTTCCCTACACTGGCTGATTCGCAAAACCGAGGAAACGCCCCAGGAATGACACTAACCATAAGAGCGGAGAGTCGCC